TAGCGTACGTGATCTGCTGATTTGTATATGAGTTGTCTTCTTATTGTTAGAAATTTACATGTCAAAACTCTATATAAGGGTGAGATTTGATTGTCTTGTTGTGTCTTGTCTTGATCCGAAGTAAAGTATAGTTTCGTCGTCTCGTGTCTTCTTCGTCGTCCATCAGTCATCAACATATTCTCAACGACACAACAGTGATTTTCTTATTTCTGTACCCCGTGATTTTATTCTTTGTGTCATCAATAAAATCACTGTTTGAATACGAAACTGTCATCGCGTTCTTCTTGTTCAAGTCAACGGGTTATTCAAGCCGGAAAATCAGATTTCTATCTTTTTGTCGTAAATTCCGCGACGAATCGCACTTTTCAGATATTCGTTGGGTGTATCATTGTGATTGTATTACTCTTCTCCTTAAGATATTCAGTACGATTACTCCCGAACCACTCTGGGTCAGGAGTGATTATACACATGGGCCTACTTTACACGAATTCAACTGTTTCCACAGCATAGCATTACATTCAATGTTTTACCGTCAAGAAACTGCGGAAAACCTTCGCCAACATGTCGGCTTCTGCAATGAGATCCTCCAGTCTCGCATCTTCACAGTTTTTTCGAAAACGGAAACATGTTTGCAGGAATTTAAATAATGATGATATAAACGATGTGTATTACTCGCATAGCAGAAGCCTACAAATTTATTTAGAAGCTCTATGGATTCATAGCGTTATCTATTGATTTGACAATGTTGCTGAGCACATTTGATCGGTTATTGAGCAGTTATGTAGCCAGTGAATTGCATTTTGCTGTTTTCTGCAGGCTTATTTGATCCATGCTTCGCGACTTTCGCTCCCCAGCCACTTGCTGATGATCCGCCGAAACTTCCATCCGGAGAACTGCTCCAACCAGCTCCGGATGAACCACCCCAACCGCCGGCCGCACTGATCGATTCACTGCCTTAAAAGTTGCTTTGACCAAATAGAATATTGAACATTCTACTGTCGGCAAAAACTTGTATCGTCTCACATTGTTGTAGATGGCGGCTAATATTGAACAAAGGAATGCAGAAAGACCGTTGTGGATTGTACATCCTAGAGCCCATTAACTGGTATGGTGTAGCAAACTTTGAAAACTAAACTGGTGACATTTGATACGGTATTATTCCAATCGGCCATGAAAATTTTAAATATGGTATTGTGTTGTGCTCACAAGCCAGCGATCAATTTTGAACTGATGCAGAAAATAAAAATTTAGAAGGAATTAGAATTGAAGACTCACAAGCTAGAAGTGTAACGAGCAGGAGGACGAATGTGGCAGAGGAGTTTGCTGCGGAAAACATTCTGATCGAGCTGATGAGAACGATGTGATGAGTGAATGCCCGCGGCGAGTGCATTTATACTTGCATCTACAGGTTTGCGCATCTATTAAGATAACTTTTTCGATGAACCATTAACAAATGTTCAGTTTTGTGTCCTGTTTCATTGTATCATCATATAATGAGGTGTCGTTATGTTTTTCTAGAGTTACTGGAAGGTGCAAGAATTGATTAAGGCTCAAATCAAGAACTTTTGATCTCATAACATAATTTCACTGAAATGATGTTTGAATGAGTCAACTTTTTATGGGCCCCTTCATAAGCACATTCAACAATATGCGCGATATAATGTTATAACATTAATAATACAAATTGATGACATTATTTTTGTTGTTTTTCACCAATATTAACTAAACAGAAACAATCGCACTAAGTTATATAGCAGAGAGGTACTGTGAGCCTCAAACAAAATCAACCCACCCAATACACCATTAACTCCTCATCAGAGCAGCTGACTCGCAGATAATTTCAGTCACTTCGGTGATATGACTTCTTCAAAAGGTTTCTTATACATTAAGGACTACATGATAAATTCTCGAAATATTGGTTTGCTGATCTCCTCAATTATCCTACGACACCTCCAAATCAACCCCGAGGGTAACTACCCCTATGAGAACCACTGGATTAGAGGTTAAAAATAGAATTGGACAAGTTTAATAAAATGGTGCGATTAGCTAATGTTAAATAAGAAATGCTTTGAAGTGGCGAGGTTGAGGGGATGGGAAGGTATAGTTTGATCTGAATATGATTTATTGAATCTGTGTTGATAAATTGTTTAATAGAATTTAATCTAGTTTATATGAGCAATTATTAAGAGATACATCGATGAAGCTCTTTACACAAAGTTTTATGATCAATGATGAAAGAAAAAATCGTCAAGTGTTCTTGAAACAAGGCGATATGAGTAATATTATATTGGGCATGGGTGTTCTCAATAATCGCCTATTCTTAATCAAGAATCCATTTCGAAACAGTTAGC